GAGAAAAACCAAAAAAAAAAAAAAAAACAAAAAAACAAATGCTGTAACTACAGGTCATGGGACAACTTGAATTGTACCCAAATCTTCCAAATGAACATGTTATTAATATAAATATGGTTTTTAATTTAAAATACTATAGCTACCAAAAAAGAAGCAAGGTTAATTATTCTTTAAGATTTCAACATGTTTTTAATGTTCAATGTTTCATGTGTTACCCTCTGTCACACGTATTGCAGTGGTCCTGGCCCTGAGATCCAGCTATCCTGATTCTCATTCTGACCATTGTCCAGCGTGGCCTTGATCCTGCTGGGCATTTCTGTGGCTGCAATCCCTTGCTGGGGCTCGCCTGGTATAAGAAGCAGACAACCAGGTCTCATAGACTTCTGAATATTAATCTAGGCTGTAGAAAAATAAGGAATCAAATCAACTGAATAAAAAATGGTGAAGAAATTTCCTCATGAAGACCTAGCAGGCATGTCATTCTGAAAAATTGGAATGGATGAAGTGGAATCTCACCTGTGATATAGATGTTATGTTTATTTTCCCTCACACTCTTATAAAATGCTCTATGGGACTCATTTATGTTATTTGGTTCATGTTGAAATCATCTTTCTCAGGAACATTATTAGGTGGATAAATGAAAGGAGAAAAGTAAAATTTGCTTTGTAGTTTCTGTAAGCCAAAGTCTACGTAGCTTTTAATAGTCTGCATGTGAATCCTCCCATCAGTCCTCATTTGGAGTTTTTTCTATTCTAAATGTTCAATTTTTTAAAGAGGTTTTTCAATCTCACTCTACATGCTGTCTCACAGTAGGCTAATACAAAATACATTTCATGGCTTTGTCCACTTTATAACAAATGGTCGCCTGGAGAAAATTTATAAAACCTGACTAGCGCCATCTTGTGATCAAAATCAGAACTACAAACACTCAAATCCTTCGCAGAGGTACTGTGAGAACTAGAGTCAGCAAGACAGTAGTGGCCTTGTCAGACTTACAGAATTTTTCGTTATCAGCTCAAGAGTGGTGTGGGTGTGCTACACACAAAAAACCAGGATCATAACGTCCCCATTTTAATGTTTGTAATTATAATATCTCTCATGTATAATGTAAGTCTCACTTCCGCTTTTGAATTTCCAATGACAAAATCAAATCTCAATAAATGTTGAAATATTATAGTTTGCACTACATATTTTCTCTTAAAATAATATATTTGATCATTTGTACACATTAAAAAATATTTTCATATCATCTTTTGTGAACTACTTTACAATTTTTTTAAATATTTCTAAATTTTATTTTATTTTATCTCATTTTCTAAATTTTATTTTATCTCATTTTCTCATAATGAGAATAATCCAACTTTGTTATTTTAAAATGGAGATACGTAATACATAGCAGGTCTAAATTTTCTGTCTCTCCAACCTCACAGACATTTGCAATTTAAAAAGTAGCACGTATATTTCTGCATTTCTCTTGCATATAGCAATGCACACGCATCCTTTTTTGTAAAAAACGGCATTGCATGATGTCAGTCATCTGACAATTTGCTTATTTTTAGATTATGTTTTAGATTTTTTTTGAATTTGGAGTTCATTCTTCTTACGGCTAAATAGTATTCAATATTGTAGGTTGCTGTCTATGTAACTATTCTAGTATTTGTTTTCTCTGGAGTATAGACAAATATCTTCTACTTGACCAATGTGTGGACTGTAGCCTATATTGATTGCTAGAAAAGCACAAGCAACCAAGTAACCAGCTTCTTAAATCCACAAAAAAATCCAACTTCAGCTAAAGACAATGGAATGTGTGTATCTGTTCAAGTGTCTGTAACAAAATAAACGACTCCCTTTTTAGCGCCATTGTTTCTGAAAGAATCTTAAAAGTACACAGACTCCAACATATTATCATTCCTCAAACTCGTGAGTCTTTTATTACTTATACTTGAGCCTAATACTTTGATTTTCTTCACCACATATACAGATTTGACTAGATCATTTGAAATTAGTGATTCACCAGCATATTTGAACATCTCTATGTTTATGTATGTTACACTATTTTGGAAAAGGTAGCTCCCCCTCACAATTTAAAATTCTCATTTCAGTTATTTTTATGTTAATATAGATGCTCAGTGACTTACAGAAGAAAGTAGAAAATTTGTCCTTTTTCTCCTTGGTGTTTTTACTTCTAGAAACCTTTATTACTAGACATAGTTTTTTATATTAAGAAATGTCCTTGGGGCTGGGGATTTAGCTCAGCGGCAAAAGCGCTTGCCTGGCAAGCGCAAGGTCGTGAGTTCGGTTCCCGGTACCGGAGAAAAACCAAAAACCAAAAAAAAAAAAAAAAAAAAAAGAAATGTCCTTTATTTTTATTATAGTACAAAAGGGAACATACCATTCTCTTGACAGATTTAAGAATCACCTTTTGCACATCATTAGACAAGCAATTCATTTTAAACATTGAGTATTCCCTGAAAAATAACCAAATTCTTAATTCTTAGAGGTAGATGAAACTGCATAATTATACAATACTTCAGATTATTATATATACTCTACCAAAACAAATAGCTTTGTTAGAAGCACAATCAACAAATGCAAATATAAAAATAATATGCTTAACACTTTTTCATTTAGTATTAACATATCACTATTTTCAAAATAAGAAAGATTTATTTAACCCAGCCATTACTGCCTTTTGACTGAAAAATAAAATGCCCTATTCCAAAGCTAGCTTTTGAAACCTCATGAAACCCTCCCCCTGGTGGAACCGGATCACCATTTTCCACCACTGTGGTATCTGGAGGACTAAAAGATCCAGGTATTAATTCCCTCACAGAAACGAAATGCACAAACTACACTCTGTTTCCATTACTCCAAAACAGCAGTTTCTTCTCACCTTTACACCAAATCCTCTAGCAGTCTCTGAAAATAACTCATTTCGATGACAGCCCCTTACCGCTACGCTTCTCTTCAGCTGAAGCCTCTGTAGACTGTAACACAGCGCTTCCCTGCAAACTGGCCAAGCCTAACAAGCGTCCAAGCTTTTAAAGGATATTCCGCCCCCTCTCTCTGATAGGGGAACGTGGGAGGACTTCCTTAGGGAGAAGAGTAACCAAGTTAAACCAAAGTAAGGTTAAAGAAAGAAATGTTACTTTTAGAATCTTGAAGGTTAACAGCAAGATGCATCTGCTGAATTTTCATTCAAAGCCCTAGGGTGAGGGATTTTTTGTAAAAATAAATTAAAAAGAGGAGTAAAACCTCTTCTTCATATAATAAAAAAAAGCAGCTGAAATATTTCTTACTTTTTGTTCCGCCCTCTCTTGTAATTTATTTCTGGTAAATTCAAGATTAATTGCTCAAGCTCTACCGAAAAAGAAAGAAAAAAAAACCCCAAACAAACAAACAAACCATGCTAAGTATCTTGATTGAAATCTCAATGAATTAGTATTTAATCTGAGGTAGAAGTAATTCTTTACAATTGTGAACTGGAACCTCACACAAAATGTCTTTCCTTCTGCTCAAGCTTCTTATACTTCCTTCCTTTGTTAATTTCTAAGGAAATTATTTTTTACAGAAATGGGAAAAAAAACTGTATCAATAATAGGATTCTGATAAACCAAGGTGAGAGAACACCCATAAATGTAGAAGTGCTTTTCAGTGCAAGTGATGAAACAGAAACATCCCTAAGGTAGCTTCTACATTTTAACAATAAGAAAATGAACAACAGAGTGGAGAAAGGGACAAAAAAACATAAGCAGCAATTCACTAATTCGTGTTCCTCCTGATATTTACTTCCCCACGAAGGAAGCACTGTCTACATTTTCTTCACTAGACAGACAGGACTTTCCATCTCTCGGCTACTGTGAATAGTAATGCAATGAACATGAGTTGCAGATACCTCTTTGAGACAGTGTTATTGTTTTCTTTGAATATGTACTCAGAAGTGGGATTGCTGGATCATATGGAAATTTCATTTTTAGGTTTTTAAGGAACCTTCACGCTGTTTTCTAAAATGGGTGTATCAATTTATATTCCCACCAAACACATAGAAGCGTTCCCTTTCCTCTACAACCTTGTCGACATTTGTTATGCTTTGACTTTTAGATAATAGATATCATAAGAAATATGAGGTGATATTCCAATGTAGTTTTGATTTACATTTCCCTGATGATTACTGATGTTGAACACCTTTCTCCATTTTAAAATAGGTTTGCGTTTTGCTACTGAATTTTATTAATTCCCATTTATTTTGCCCATTAGTCCCTTGCAAATATCTGGTTTGCAAATGTTTTTTCTTGTCTTTGGATTGTCCTTTCATTTTACTGTTTCCTTTGTTGTGAAGAAACTTTTTAGTTCGAAGTACTCCCACTTGTACATTTGTATTACTTTTAACAGCAGTTTCTTTCAAGAGCTCTGCTATAATTTTAAAACAGAAAGTTCCAAATCAATTCTGCAATTCTGTAAGAACAGTTTCTGTTCATGGGAATCTGTGCAAAACTATCAAACTACTGCTAGTGTGTATCAAGAATGTAAAACATAGTTCACTGAGAGATAGCAGCTGCAGGAACAGATAACTGATAAGCATTGTTTCAAAAAATTTACAAGACCTTGAGAAACACTGCTATTTAGACTAAACTGAATCTCTGAGGAGTTGCTTTTATTTTTGTTGATATCCTTTTTGTTTTCTTTAGCAGGAAAATGCTTTACAAACCAGTGATCATAAACCCATCAAGGTATAAAATACTAAAAATACAAATGTTAGTAAAGATGAGGAGCAACTAAAAAATTCATATGATGATGGCATGTGCATGCATTGAAACCAGGATTTCAAGGAAAGTTTTAGCATTATTAGCTAAAGCTGAGCATTAGGGAAGTCAATAGAAAACCATTTAGGGCTTATAGGTAGAAGAATGGAATGTCTGAATTAACATAGAACAATCATATCCTTGAAAGCTATTGTTACTGGACAGCATATATTAAACAATCCAGTGAGGCATAGGAAGTAAATGTTCAGAATTCAATTTTTAAATTTTTGTTTATTTTAGCAACTTCTAAATATAAATTTGGTTTTAAATGCACATGACAAATTATTACTTAATCGAATGTATACTTTATAAAAATTAACTACTGGGGGAAAATATTAAAACTTGAGTCAGGATAATTAAGTATGTGGAAATATAGGTCTTAAAGCCCACACAGCCTTCCCATTTGCCTTTACTTCTGATTTGCATGGTTTGGGATTATCTTCCCATAGAAAGATGAAGTAATTTGAATTTATTAAATTTCTTATATTCTGATTTCATTACTTAGAGAATCTGACACTACTCTTATTAAATGAGAAACTGAATTATAATAAGGCATATTTTTAAAAAAGGCTTGGTTCTTATAAATTTCAGACAATGCTGCAAACTATGTGGGTATATGGACATTCCACTTGCACTCTAATATTTTAAAGTCAAAATTTTAGCGCCAACAATTATTGGTTTTCTTTCATGTTAACCTTAATTTTATTTCTAGATTCTTTTTCACTTGAAGATCTTGGAAGTAATGAGTGCAACATTTTGGGGCATCTGGAAAATCCCTAAGAAAATCAGAATCCATAAACGCAAAGCATCAGGCATATTAACTGACAGTGTGACAATCTTTAGTTGGATTCTAACATATATAAAGATGTTTCTAAAGAACAAATTAAAATAATATTAACAATGTATATGTACCATCTTCTAATACATTAGGAGGCTAATTATATTTTAAAGGTCAAGTATAAGCCTTTCACTAACATGTACTTACATGAGTCCATATACTTACAGGAGGCTATATATTTTAATACAAATATAATTGTACAATAATTTAAATAGCATTTTGGGAAGAATGGGAAGGATCAGGTTAAATATGTAAAATAAAGGATGACCTTAGAATATACAATCTGTTCTCATAATGAAATCACGTAAACTTATTATTTATTTCTCATTTATTCCACCAAGACAGGAAAACTTTTAAGGTTTTAACTGTATGTAGACTGTGAATGCACAAGAGTTAACTTATGTCCTTTTATGCTGCTTCGTTTTGCTCAGAGACTTCATTTCAGTGAAAGCTATGGGGCTTATTCAGTGTGTTTCATTCTACTATATTTATTTTAATATTATTTTGTCGCTATAGTTAATGAGATAGCCATGGGAAACATTATTTCTTGCTCTGAGATACATATGTTTGAATTTTACTTGAGCAGCCAGTTCCCCTTAGCAACCTCTTTTACCTTTTATTCTGGTCTTAAATTTAAATAGAATTATAAAGGTATCTCTCACTCCAAATCATCTTTTTTGAGATGGCTACAAAGTAATACATAAGGTGTTCTCCCCCAAATTATAAAAGAAAGCATGAAAAACACACTTAAGTGTATTTGATGTGCTTTATATTTTATTATTAAATCCACAGTACCAGAAGAATTATCTTTTTACAGGTAATGGGTTGTGGAAAAATTGTCAATTCAAGAAGAAAATCATCTTTTCTTAGATTAACTTTGTATAGCTAAAGGGCTATTGAAATAACTACATTTCGGTGACTGAATATTTTTAGGGTGGGTAACAGCTTGTGCTTATTCACACTTGTACCCAGCCGTCAGGTTATGGCTAGGCACAGAACCAGTACGCTTTCTTTAAACCAAAAGTGCTTTTTTTCGTTCCACTTACATCATTAACATTTTAAAAGTGAACGTTTCCAAATAGCTGGAAAGCACAGTAACACTTATTAAATACATGTATAACAATTCATTCCTTCAGCCCAGGGGCCTGACATGGGTGTCCCTGCCCACCCAGCCCGGGCATAGTCACGCCCACTAACCCTCTCACCAACAGAACAGGTCCCACACGGCAGTCACTTAAACAGACTGCCGCATACACACTCAGGTTCACACTGACCTATGGGTCTTGTGTTCCGTTCAATTCGCATTTTTAACTTTACAGCGTCCGTTCTACTTCACCCCTCCTGCTGTATGGAGTTACACCCGAGGACTTTCACTCCCTGCTCCTGTCCTGAGGCCCCCTCACCCTGATGTTGTGATACACACCACAGAGGTCTATGTTTCTTATGTTATTATCATTGATAATAGTTATTATAATATTATGTAGTGAATTTATATGAAATAGAAAAGAATTCATTCCTTGGTCATTATTCCTTGTTTTCTAATGAGTGTGGGTACATATTATGAAAGATTTTAAAAGCCTTAGAGATTTGCTAGTCAAATTTATAACATGTTCTTACAATTACTTATGATAATTACAGTCCAAGTCCTTAACAAGGGTCATGGTTAGGTGCATATGGTTATATTATATTCAAGAGGAAAGTGATGCTCCTTCATTTTGATATATTTAGTCACTCTTAAAAGATTAACTAAAGCCTGTCAGTGTTGTATTCCCCACCCCACACTGAATTTAAGGGTACCTCTCATAAAGATTGTGTATTATGGAATAAACGTCTAAAAACAGTTAGTCTTATACAATAAACTTCTACAAAATATTCCACAATGAAATGGATTAAATAAAGGACCTGAGATTCAAAATTTCCCAGGCTGTTTCAGTCCAGAAGCAGAGAACTTCCAAAGGTCAGCTACTAATCTCAAGTCAAATGCAACAAAAATTAGTTATATGAGACTAAAGGAGGACTGAAAGAAAAGAATGAGAAAAATCTAATAGTGATTATTTACCTTGGAATATTTTAGGTATTGTTTTTAGTATTCAGTATTCTGATTTTACACTGTGAAGTCTTCCTTTTTATCCTTTTCAAACTTTTGCATCCTTTTAAAACTCTAATTCTGAAAATGACAGAATAACAAGGAAATTACACTTTTTAAGTGGTTTGAAATTCAAGTTATCCAAAAACCAAGATAGATTTTGTGATGTAGCTCATATTATCAAATTTTAAGATGTAATAGATTTAATTCTATAGATATCACAGGTGGTACAACTCATCAGAATCCAGCAACATACAAAATTCCCTATATTTA